ATGTATACAATATTAGTAGAATGAATCTTCTGCTAAAACATGGAACCATACACCGCCATATGCTATGTCTTTTGTGCATGTGGTGAGTAGTGGAGAAGGCCCCACTGTACGTATTCATAAGAAAACAAAAACAAAAAACCGAGAGAGCTACGGGCATCTTCATCCTAACCCATAACTGCCGACATGCAGACCTGAACGCCAACCTTCAGAATATATTCGTGGTCGGCCAGACATGAAAATGCAGCCTGTGACTTCTGCAAAGTTCGTGGGGCAGGTTGTTACTAGGCGACTACCCCCTTCTTGCAAACTTACCCCACCACTGCGTGGGATTTGCGAAACGGAGGGGGAAGGCCAGTTTCCATACCCCGCTTTTTGCATTTTTGAAACTTCTGGGGGTAGGGCCTGCGGAAATTGAAATTCGGCAGCCCTTGCCCAAAAAAAAGTTCGGGCCGGGGGCGCGGCCGGTTTGCGAGCTTGCGCGGTGCATTTAACATTTTTGCCGAGTTGGGGACCCTAAGGAATGACAAAACCCCTACTTTTTTTGTTTTGTTTTGTTTTGGGACCTAATTTTTACAGTGCGGTGCGCTGCGCGGGGTCCGCAAATTGTGCGCAAATCCGCGCACCGAGGTGCGCTGCAACTATGCTTTGTATATTCATAAAGATGGGAATCGGGCCCAGCGTCCCTCATATCATACGCCATGGCTGTCCGAGCTAAACGAGCCACTCCGGACAAGCCTGACTCTGGCTGCAGCCCATCAGAACAAACCATACTTGCGGCGCACCAGTGAGCAGCGCGGGGCGGTGCGGTGCGCAGTGCGCTGGAATTCCAGCGCGTGCACTGTGCGCTCAGCGCTGTACGCAGTGCTTTTAGTAACAATAATAAATAAAACATGTATTCCTGCCACAAAGAGAGAGAGAGAGAGAGAGAGAGAGAGAGAGAGAGAGAGAGAGAGAGAGAGAGAGAGAGAGAGAGAGAGACCAAAAGGTTCCGTTTTTGTCAATTTAGGGCCCCCTGCAGGTAACTCGTATGACTCCCACAATGCCTTCACAACGCACTTCAGCACTTTGGCATTGTGGAGGGATTGGTTACGGTCGCTTCAGCAAGCTGGGTGGCCGCGTTACAATGAGAGAGGTGGGAGAAGACCACCAATATATTCTGTGGGGGCGAGTTCAGGTCTGTAGCTCGGAAGTTATGGGTCACCAATTCAGCTTGACCCTGTTCGTGTCTCCACGTGATTGTAAGGGCCTAGCTCCACCACTCAGTGGTACTCACCGAATGAATAACATCTGAATGAATCTTCTGCTAAAATATGGAGCCATACACCGTCATATGGTATGTCTTTTGTGGATGTGGTGAGTAGTGGCCAGAAGTAGTGGCCAGAAGTAGTGGCCAGAGGCCCCTTGGGCCACTGTATGTATTCAGAAGAAGACAAAAAGGAAAAAACGAGAGTGCTACAGGCATCTTCACCGCCACTGTACGTATTCAGAAGAAAACAAAAAGAAAAAACGAGAGAGCTATGGGCATCTTATTCCTTACCCAT